ACCGACACGCACGCACGACCGCACGCACGCACACACACACACACACACACACACACACACACACACTTGTGTACATGTTCGAAATCGGCACATCTGGTGTCCTCATTTGCGTATACAGACAAACGAGCTCTATGCATGCTTGTAGTCGCTATTCCTTCGTCGAGTGAGTTTTGAAGTTAGATTATGTACAGCTGACAATTGACAAGTTATCCCCTCTCCCCTGGATAACGCAAAAGATATTGTAAATTAATCACAACGTCACATAGCCTCCCTCCCTTCTTTAAACTTTTACAATCGTCATCGCGCAACGCGCATCTTTCACGTAAGAGTTTTCCGAGTCGCTTTCGCGGATTTGAACTATAATTTGTCTACATTATTAAATTTTAAACCGATTCAAATTAATTTCATTCGTATTCAATTATAAATATCTTTCAGTTGGACAAAAATATCGGCATGTTTATTATTCTAATAAGTTCCACTTACAAAACAGCTGATGCGGAAGATGTAACTAAACCAAAGATGTAACAGATGTACAATAACAAACAAAACATCTTTTTCTCTCCTTTAGAGCGCGATGCACGTATGTTTGAAAACACGTCTATAAAATAGGCATGTTAGTATAGCTTTTCTGTGATGATAAACTTGCCTCTCTTTATCAATTTCGCAAACTACAGATAGATATTACTACCTCCGTTATCGTAACACGTGTACACTAGTTTTTTTAATTGTTAAGTGATCTTCGTTTACTACTCTCTCACACACAATTGTTACTCGACTTTCCTTTTATATTCGAAAGAAAAAAGTACATGACCATCGCAGAGATTGTATCGTATGTACAATAACGAACAAAACGAACGGGCAGTTGTAAACACGCGTTAACATGTGTGTAACCGTAACGTAATGTTAACGTGAACGGAAATTGACGGATCGGTCTCTAAAATGAACGAAAGGTCTTTATTCATTCTCGAGAGAGTTGTAAGTAAAATATATAATGGTAAAACGAAAATTTTGCTATGCATTGCGATGGGAATCAATGTGCAATGTGAAACGAAATAGAGATTCTTTAAAAAACTAGTCAAAATCGCGCTGCGGTATTTTAGGTATATTTTCGAGATTTCACGGAAAAATTTTATATTCCAAAAAATATTTCTTATAGTCGTAGAAATATACGTACGTATAACATCACGAGGCCTTTATACGAGACAAAACACGAAAGATATCTACCGCTTTGATAGATATTAAGAATTAGATCGTTTAAGCGGTTAGGTTTAATAACGATCGTATAACAAGTTTCGAATATTCTTTGTTAAGGTTAAAGTGCCGAACTCTGATTCTGCGTGTACAATTTGGTAACCGAAAGTATGTATAACCGCAAACCGATCGGAATTTTGAATTCCGACTAAACGTATTTCCAATTAGATACGAATCGATTGTTGTCTTGTAATCGTGTCCGGTGCCAAGTCCAAATTACGAGAATGCAATAATTTGTTTCACAGCATATATGCTCGTATTATATATCGCATGCGGGCATACGCAGCCTTACATGGCATCTACGAAACGTATATAAAGCAATATTTTAATATAAAAAGAAAAATTGTGTATTTCATATATTTACGGTATCGAGTCGCCAGCTTGATGAGAGGTGACTTTCAACAGTAGTATTAAGCGATAGCTTTTAAGACGAGGAACGGGACGCAAATAATCTGTGAAAGGGTAAACGAGAACTTTTAATAGAATATCGAAAATAGAAAAGAAAATTCCAGAGAGGAGAGTAATTCCTTCCAATAAAAGAAAGCGAAACAAAATATTAGAAAAGAAAGAGAATATATGTAGAAAGGAAGAAGCAAAAGGTGAACGGGCGTTTCAAGTGATGAGAGCTAGCATTTCTCTTGTATTATATGAGAATGTCAAGTCCTATAAAATTTCGGCATTCTACAAAATATCCAAGTCTTGAAAATTTTATCATTCGTCAACTGTATTTCCAAAAGTCCTAATCGTTAATTAGGTCATTGCGACCTCGATCTAGCGTATCTCTAATGCATTCAGTACCTTATGTATATCTAAACGTAATTCGGTACATCTATTGGCGCAAAATATTACGGATTTCAACATTCTTGTTGGCTCTTGAATATTAATAGAACGAATCTATGATTAGTCTCACGTGTATATATAAATTCTTAGCCAATACCAATCCTTACCGAGAACGAGATGCGATTCAGTTTCGAGCAAACGTTGAGAAATATCCGAAAATGACCTGAATAAATATATATCTCTTAGTGATTTCTCGGCAACACTCACTTGTAGTTTATTTCGTAACAACGAATTTCCACAACGTCGTACAAATCACATTTCAAACTTTGCGCGCATGTAAAGAGAGAGAGAGAGAGAGAGAGAGAAGAAATTGTCGAAAATCCAATTGTTACTAGTTTCTTTATTAGTTTTATTTTTCGCTTGTCGATACGTCGATATTCCTTATCGTTAGGCGTACATTTCAACGAGAAAATCTTCGTGCTTTATCTTCAAATATAGTTTTTCATTTATAAATAAATAAAAGATGAAGAGGAATAAAATAAGATAGAAGAGATTAATCATTTTGTGTTAAAATTTAATGTCGAGAGGAAGAGAGAGGAGAAGACTGTGATTCGACACCTTCTGATCGTTGAATTAATCGCTGAATTACCGACAGATCAAAGTACGAATCGTCGCGATGAAATCGGGTAGCGTCGGGTAATGTCGGGTGACGTCGGATGGCGTCATCGTCGCGTCGTGTTGACACGACGAAGATAATTTTATCGATCGGTCATTTATTTTCAGATTTATTTTTGCGCTCGCATAAAAAGCTATTCTTATCGCTCTGCGAATGCCGACAAATTTTTGCGAGAGCGTTAAGTGGACGCGAATCTAAAAGAGAATTTTTGCGTGAAACATTTTGATCACGACAATCGTATAATTCAAAGCTTGCGCGATTCATGCGTTTTTTAAACTCGATAATATCTTGCGATATTAATTTGCATGTTCGTATATAACGATAATCGATTGATTAAAATCACTCTAATAATTCGTCAAGGCATATCTCATTGGATTAAACGTAGAGTTTTTAAATTTTATTAACAATTTTATCAACAAACTGTACACCGATATTGCAAAACTTGTCATTATTCTTAAATATGAGAGAAATCTAGTACTATACAAATATATTATGTAATATATTGTCTTTGGTGGATTTTGACAAGCGGAGTATTAAAGAAAGATTAAAATACGATGACAGTGATGTATACATATATATCACGACATTGGTATGTATAATGATACGGACCCTAGTCGATTGGCCTCGCGTGGTTTGTCAATGTATCACACGATATCACGTCGCGTTTTTGGCACTGGGAAGCCGTTAGTCGAGTCAAAGCGAATCGCGAAATAATAGTGGGGCGAGTCTAGACCAAGTGCGACGAGACGAAGTCCTGTCTTTTTTTTTTTTTTTTTTTGTTCTTTGTCCTATCTTTCTTGTCTCTCCCGAATTTCCAATTTCCGTAGAAGCGGATCGTAGTACCACAAAAGCGAGTCGCGACGAAGCGAAGCATGGCTCGTATTCGGGTTCGGGCTTGGAGTCGGATTCGGACTCGGACTCGGGCTCGGGTTCGGGCTCAAGCTCGGGCTCGAGCTCGAGCTCGGGTTCGGGACCGGGACTCGGCAAAGTTTAACTGGCGTGGCACGGCGAAGTGAGGTGGGGCACGAGGATCGAGGCGAGACAAAATGAGAAGGCCGAACACGCGTGCTCTGTTCAGGTCAGGTGCGGCGACGAGAACCTTTCTCATGACGTGGTTCCGAGGCTTCCGAACCACATGACCGCAGTGTACCGGGTGTTCTCAACCAAAGTGGTCGAGTGATATCGCGTCGTTCGCGTCGTTCGTCGAGAAACGCGTTGTGAGCGAATGCACGAAATTGTTATTAAGATAAGAAAGCACACAGCAATTTTTCTAACGAGGATCGTGCCAGACTATTCCAAGTCTTCAGCTGTAATAATTTGTCCGAACCGATTGTTGGTAAGCGATAAATTCCATTTATTTCTTACACATATCCGGGATATACGTATACATATTTCTCTGGTATACTTTTTATATGTCAAAATACAGTCTCTCGGAATGTATTAAGAAAACGAGGAGATTGGACACATTATATTTTTTGTACAATTAAGTGTGTATACGTCGGATACACTCTCGGATTTAATTACACATCTCGAGATGGAAATGTACCGAATACATACTTTTGCGAGTTGCATATTCTCTAAATTAATATTTTCTGAATTTACACATATTTGGATAGAAATTTAAGAATATCTATTCATATATCGAGGATAACGGCATGATTAAAAATTTGTTTTCTTTTTTTTTTTTTTGGTTGTATTATCTAATTATTCTACACTTGACGTTATTCCCACTATTACAAGCTTATTAATATTTTTATATTTTAGCCATTATGAATTCTTGAATTTATCAGTAGATTTGACATGAAAACAATTCTTTACGTAGACGTTTATTTGGTAAGAATATTATATAATCCTAGAGATTTATTTCATTTATCTTTCTCACTCATTCAAAATTTACGATTCTGAACGGATGAACGTATGTACGAGTGTGTTGTGTGTATGTGTGTGTATTATATATGATTAATTTATCGGAGACTTCAAATTTCTCCAAGGAAACCAAATTCGTGCACATTTGTATGAATAACTGTAAATAAACTTGTTTATTCGTATAAATATGTAACCTTAGATAATAAATGTAATCATTAGTAATCGCGCACAGCGTTTGTTTTATTTCCTCGTATATTAATAAATACATAATGATTGAACACTCGATGATATGTGACCCATTCAAAATTTATGGCTGTACATATTGTGAAATATATTTTAAGAAATAAATAAGAACATTTTTTGTTATGATATAAATCTTTGGACAAACTGGACAAACATATTTCGGATATTGCTGAATTTTTAACATTATAAATTTATTTTTATTTGTAAATTTTTTTATCGATTACTTTTTAATTGTTTTATTTTTATTTACTTTAATAACTTGTGTATACACTCAACTTTGAAAAATCTGTTTAGAAATCAATTTTTTTTTACGAGCGATATATTATATAAATGTTATGGATGCGTAATTCCTTTTTCGAGCATGAAGAAAGAAATAAGATTTCCTACTAATTAATATTTAATGCTCATTAACTTACATAGTTTTTCCTGTTGTCAACATATTTTATAAAGTGTACTATAAAATAAAGTGAGTTTTATATATTCTAGAATATGAAACGTATATGAATATATTTTCACGAAAACGCATCTCACATTTCACATTTCTCGCGTACAAATACACGAGCGTGCGCGTACGCTCTCAATTCACATCGATATACATTATATCGATTGATACATTTTTATGACAGTCCTTCTTCCTTTCTCTTTTAATTGTAACACTGAAAGTAAGCTGAAAAATGCGTTACGATTAAAGAGCAATTAAACGGCGGCTATTTAAATTAATGATAAGATTTTATCGTTTGGAGTGTTCCATATCCGCAAGATCCGCAAGTTGATCTGCGAAATAAGCTTGGTTAAATATGCGTGATTACTGATATCGAATTCGTGAACAATGTCTCGCTATATCGAATCAAAATATTTGCCGTGATGTTTAATCAATGATTCGATGTGCATATGTACACACTTGAGATAAATGCTGTAAATTGCATTAGAAATAGGAGAATAATTGTTTTTATCTTTTCAAGTTTGTCGAAAATCTTAAATATCGTCCTATAATATATCTCTTCTGTCTGGCAAATCACAAATATTAATTTTTCTCAGCGTTACATCACGAAGAACAGAAACATTATTTTCTTCTTTTTTCTCTCGAGTCAAGCTTTTTTTCTCTTGAGTTACTTGGTGACACGAATTATTTTCAATATTTTCTAAAGAATGTTTGAAATTTCTTGATCTTTATTCTTATATACAAGACGGAGTTTATCGGAAAATTTCATTATCTATATTTTAGTAGAAACGGACGTTTTCACGCAGAAATCGACCGGTCGGTCTCCATGGTGATCACACCCCTCTGGCGACTCTTTTATGACTCTTGACTACTTATTTTCGAATCTTTTCTACTGGCATTTTCTACTTGGGCGTAAAATATGTAAAAGACATATTTGAAGCAAACAACAGTAGATGTCCAATCGAAAATATCATCTTCGTTATTTATAATCCATAAATTAATCTATAATTAAATTATAATTCTATAAAGCGTAAATGAAAGCGATTTGCATTCGTGTGTGCTACGTATGTCAATGATTAATTAATGTTTAATTGTCTTTTCATTGAAATATGACGATGTAATTATAAAATCCATAAAGTGAAGTAATCCTTTTTCAAATATTTCCATACAGTAAAATTTCTTATTTTATATTGATCTTGATAAATTTTTATATATCAAAAAAATTTCAACAAAGGAGCAACACATGTTTTCGTAATAGGAATGTTCTTATTTATATGTAGAAATATAAAATATTGATAATTGCTTGTACGTTGGACATCTGTTTTCTTCACGAGAGAAACTGTGTAAAAATTATTTTGACAAGATTTCCGATAAATCAAAATGCCAAAGACAGCCGAGACAGCAATTAGTAATCGACCTTACGACCTTACGACGTTTAAATGTATCGTTACGATGTATCTCTTGATGGCTTGTCCCGACTGGGACATAATTTCCCAGAATAGAAATACAAAGAACAATTTTATTAGTGCATCAATAATTTACAAAATCTGAGGCCGAGTCAAACTAACGTTTCATTTTCAGAGCGGATTTATAAATACGTATCGTATTGGCAATAGCCAGATTTCCGCTTTACGTCAAAAGTCGTCAGTTCTGTAATACTAGTGAATATTATTAGACTAAACCGCCTGACGAAAAGTGTCTGACAATATAGGCGTCTACTTTGAGTGTTCTAGAGCTTGCCCAATAAATATCCTTTTCTCTCCAGAACATATACAATACAAATCAAAATTATCTGCAAAATTACTTTTAGCATATTTAGCATATTTATGTTTCGATAGTTTAATTATGCATTAACACATAGAGATGCATCTTGATTCAAGCTTGGTCCTTTCTGTGGTTCTTTTCTGACAGACGGGCAAAAACACGAGAATAGGAATATTTATGAAATGCATATGGAACGCGGCATATGATACAAGTAATGATTATGCAAAGTAAATAAAACATTTTCATCAGTCTTAAATTAGATTTTTCTGATTTCATATCAGAATAATCACATATTGTGACACGAAACGCGTTTCTTTCCATATCATCGCTAATTCATTATTTTGCAGTTTCCAGTTCGACGGATACTCGATTCATTAACCAATCGAGCATCAGTAGCTGCATACTTTGCTTTTTTAATTGATAATTTGGCTAAATTAATAATTTTCTAATCTAACTTCTTTTTCGTTTATCGATGACTATAATTATAATCGCACATGCCGAAAAGGATCGCGAATACTTTCCTTCGTTTATATTATACGCATGCATAAATTCCTGCAAATGTTCGTTGTTTGCGTTATCTCGATGATGAGTAATCTCGCTGATTTTCTTTTTATCGCTTCGTACTTTCAAACTCCCGTGAAATGTATGTGAGTAACGTCGGTCCTTGATAGCGTTGGGCCTTCTACGAAATGATTTATCTGTGACAAAATTACATACATGTGTACATTTTTATTTATATACATACGTATAACAAGATGTGCGGAAATTCAAATTATAGATCTAAACGAGAAAAAAACAAAATAGAGTTCAAAGAATCGAAATTTCTTAAAAGAACAATAATTAAAATAATAAATAATTGATAATAGAGAAAAATGAATCATTTTTAAGTAATTGAGAGAACTAAATGAAAAATATAACACGGGCGATATAGAAGAGAATTAATTAATTATGAATTTTTAATCCCGCCTTAGTTTTAACGTTAAATTTATACAACGCATTTTACTTATGTTATTTCCAATTTATTTTTCAGGATTTTATAATCGAAAATTTATTTATTGCATAATTTACATCTATTAATTTTGTTATATCTTTTTCAATGGATATAAAAATTAATCCAATCATTTTTTTTTAAATAATCGTAAATAAGTTTATAAATTAATTTTACTGTTAAATCTAGGAACGTCAGTAAAGTTCTGAATAAAATTGCTACATTTGTATACTAGATGTGATTTTGTATACTAGATTCGTATACTAGATGGATATGTCATAAAACATCTTCTTGTGTGCATTACAGTTATCACAGTTTTAACTCTTGACACACCGCATTATTATACATATAAATGTCGCGTGTAGTTTCCGTAAGCACAGGGCGATCGCATCTTCTGCATGCGTCTCTTTTTGTCTCAGAAAGATACTAAAGAGGAGTAATTTTCTTTTTCACCGGTACGTTGATTATCGTATCGATTATCGATTTGTGTATTTGTGTATTTGCAAACACGAGACACGTGCAGCTTTGTTTTAGCACATCATCGATGCATGTTTGGTCTTATCGAAAATTTCTTACGGAAAATTTACGAAAGCGAGATGCGAGATACAAGAGATACGCTAATTCGTGTGTTTGATGTTAAAATTTAAATTATTAATATATTAAAAATTAAGGATATAATGTAGCGATCTCGTAGTAAAACGGACACGGTTAATCGAATCGGTCAATGCCATCGCGTGCATTGTAATTTATGCATTTGATTATCATAACATTATTCGGATATACGGGGACAACATCGATAACATGGTCAAAAAAGTACAACTTGGTTTAATACAAATCCTTGTGTTACGTACAAATATTGCGTTACGTTTGCGACGCCAGCGATTTATACGTACTTTTTCCACTGTATTATTCCTTTTTATTTCGTGCAGATTACTTCCCTCCAATAATTAGCTCTCCAGCTCTTAATGACGTACACGACTAATATAAGCGAATAATTGTTTTATAGGACGAGCGATTCGAAGGTGCGTGCATGCTGAATTTGGCGCGACCGACTTTCCGTGAATCGTTCAGGATTGTCCCGAGGATCCTTATGGTAACCGGAGGACAAGGTGGTTATCTCCCCATTGAGTTCCAAGGACTGAAGGGCTGGCGGCGTCGTTGGATTCATTCGGCCATTACCTACATTTAGAGAAAAAAATGGTTAGCAGGAACAAAACTATCCTGCGAGAAATTCAAGTGGAATGCGATAGCGACTGCAATAGAAACGATAGAAACAACGACGGCGTCAAGTACAATAACAACAACGATCAAAATGATTACAACGATCGTTCCGCGAGCGTCAAAGGAGAAGATCTGTACGCGAAGAGGAACCAGAGCGATCGCGATAGAGCTCCGCGTAGAGTTCCGTTAATTGGCTGGCGAAACGAAAAGCGTTCTGCGATCCGTCCTCCGAGTTCTGTCCACCGAAATATCGATTCGGGCGATGTCAGCGACTTATCCTCGAAAACGTCAAGTAAACGTCAAGTCGATGTGTACTCGACTGACGCGATGGAAGAAGCGCCGATCGACGCGATCGAACCGCTCGAGCCGATCGAGCCGCTCGAGGAGCCGGTCGAACGATCCTCGGAACGGAGCGACGCTACGAGACGCAAGATTCAAGAGATATTCGTTCGCGAGGAATATCCCGAACCGATCACCGGTACGGCGACGAACCAGCGACGAATCAAAGATTCCATCGATTCCTTGAGTATCTCGGAGCGAGAAGACTCGTCGTTGGGCCTCGGCGCGGGAGAAGAGAAGCGTAAAAAGGCAAAAGTGCCAGACGGCGGTTGGGGCTGGGTGGTCGTTCTGGCCTCTCTGGTCATATCCATGATAGCCGACGGTGTCTCGTTCAGCTTTGGTCTGCTCTACATCGAATTTCTCAACGAATTCGGGGCCTCAAAGTCCAAGACCGCTTGGATCGGCTCGCTCTTCATGGCCGTACCTCTCCTATCCGGCCCGATCATGTCCGCCCTCGTTGACCGTTACGGCTGCAGAAATATGACTATCGCTGGCGGCCTGATATCAGGGTTGGGCTTTATTTTATCTATCTTCAGTAACACCGTCGAGGTAATGTACTTAACTTTCGGCGTGATCGCGGGTCTCGGTCTGGGTTTGTGCTACGTCACCGCGGTTGTGAGCATCGCCTTTTGGTTCGACAAGAAACGAACTTTGGCTGTAGGCCTCGGCGCATGCGGCACCGGTATCGGTACTTTTGTCTACGCTCCAATGACGGCGTATTTCATCGAGGAGTACGGCTGGCGAGGCACCTGTTTGCTCCTAGCTGGCACGTTCTTCAATATGATCGTCGCCGGTACCGTTATGAGAGATCCGGAATGGTGGATTCTGGAGCAACGCAAGCAAGACCAAGCTCTGCCGAAAAAACTGCACGGCCGGTCGGACGTGAGTCCGTCCGATGAGTTCCCAGGTGTCGAAGAACTCAGAAAGTTGCTCAGAAGCGACCATACGCCTGAATATTTTTTACAAAATTTAAGTACGAGCACCAAAGCGATCGGTGGTGCCAAGAGGCAGACAACGAGTGTAGTTAATCTGCCAACTTTTGTAAAACGGAGCGAAAAGGTGAGAGAAAGAGGAAAAGAGAAGAAAGAGAGAGAGAGAGAGAGAGAGAGAGAGAGAGAAGAAAGATAGATAGATAGATAGATAGATAGATAGATAGATAGAAAGAGAGAGAGAGAGAGAGAGATCTCTCGATGTCACATGTATAAAGGACGATAAACCGACAAGTACCTCGCGGTTTCGTCACAATTTTCGTAAATAAATAAATTCAAATGTGAGATTCCAGGTGCCTTTGGAAGTATTGGAGTTGTTACTGTCCAATTCTAGGCTATACACTGTCATTCTGGAGAATTATCCCAGCCTCCTTTTGTGTAGAAGTTTGTCGGATAAACAGCTGCAAGACTCGACGGGGGAGATTTGTAATAAAAGCGGCGTCACTATGTCAATGAGGTTAATTTGCTTCGTATTTGCTACGTATAGTCACAATGCGGGTTTTAACGAATCTCTTTCTCGTGAATCAAGGTTTTCGTATTACTTATCACACTTTACTTATCACACGCGATACTTTCTTATATATTATATAACACGGTTTGGCATTTAATATTTATTGCATTCTACAAAGGCTTCAACGTGTAACGGAAGCGAAAGCGATCACCGAACAACGAAAAGACTCAACTTCTATTCACGTCCCAACGAAGCTCGTTTGCGCCAGAAAGATGTCCAAGAAGGAAGTAGAGGAAACTAATCCTTTACTGGTGAAGGAAGTCGCGCATACGGTAAATAATCGTAATAACGGACTGTGATTCGAGGTGATTTGATTATGAGTCTCTGCGTTTATATACACATGTATCAAACAAATGTCCTTTTGATAGATCACGCCGACTGAGAAAAGGAGATCCGTTTCTAGACGTCATGTCAGCGAGCCTCAAGCTGGCGTCGTCGGGACAGATTCCATACCGTGGCTTAGACGACAGTTCAGCACCAACACTCATTATTTCAAGGATATCAGAGTTCACAGAAATTCTGTCATGTATCGTGGCGCTGCTCTAAATTTGCATAAATATAGATTGAGAGCGAGTAGCTGTCCCGATATCTATAGAAATAGTATGATAACATTGGCTAAAGAGAACGAACAGGTATTTTATAGATTTCTTTTTTATTCGGAAAAACAAAAAATTCACGCGAGAGATGTATGAGAGATGTTTTTCTTACTTGATTTCTTTTGGTCTCAGAAGTGGTATGCCGAGCTGCTAGACTTGTTAAAGAGCATATTGGATTTTTCGATGTTTCTCGAATTGCATTTCCTGCTGATGTCATTGTCAACGATATTGCTATTCACGTGGTTTATTATACCATACTTTTACCTTGCCGAGCATTTGACTAGAAACGGTTATGCCGAGTCCGATGCTGCTAATCTCCTCAGCATCATTGGTATAACCAATACCATCGGGATGGTAATCTCAAGTTTTACTTTAAAAGCACTTAATCTTTGAATGGTATATTCATTATCCCTCATGTCCATTATTATTGTTTTTAGATTGTTCTTGGTTGGGCTGGCGATCAACCTTGGATGAATGTCAGTAAGACGTATACTTGGTGCCTAATTGCCTGTGGAGCGGCCACCATCTTAATATCCGTGTTCACTTACAATTATACGCTTTTAACGATTAGTTCAGCAGCTTTTGGTCTTTTCTTTGCTAGCAATTTTAGCTTCACTCCCGTTATATTAGTACAACTTATTCCCTTGGAGAGGTTCACTACCGCTTATGGTCTTAGCTTGTTGTGTCAAGGAATTGGAAATCTTTTGGGACCTCCATTAGCCGGATGGTTCTTTGATGTGACGGGTTCTTGGGAGCTTTCTTTTTTATGGCTGGCAGTTGGATTATTGTCTCTGGGATCTTGGTCGGTATTATACCATATACTAGAAATCGTAAAATTTTCGGTGACGGACCTGTCGAAATGGAACGAACAAATGGCGATGACTGTCTGGCATAGGCTAAGATATCCATTGCCTACGGTGGCGTCAAATAAAATAAAATTAATGCCCATTACGTTCGAAAAATATTATCGAACACATGAATCTCAATTATATATATTGAACAAGCACTGTTGCGTCTATCTAATAAACAATTCTTTAAATTCTTTTTCCTATTTGTAATGAGAATTTTTTTGTATATATTTTTTCGTACTTAATCATATCGAATAATTCTGCTTGTGTAATGCGATATATACATATTGATTAAAATATATTAAGTGGTATGTACGTACATACGCACATATGCACGCGCGGGCGCGGGCGCGCACACACATACAAACTTATAATTTCTGTTTACTTAAAGTGCGCCGTGTATACGAGAATAATTTATATTTATAATAGCTAAATTTTAACTACATATAACTAAATTTGAAATAATTATTATGATATTCGCTAACGCAAGATTAAATTTTGTTGTAAAACAAAATTAAAAAACCCGAAGATATATATTTCGTAACACAAAAATCTTATAACGAAAATATTTGGACGTATAGAGAAAAAACAAGAAACAAAGAATATTTCCAAGATATTTAAAGATGAAACATTTAAAGACGTTTACACGCTCAACATTTCTACTGTTTTACGAAAGTAAAATACAGCGATAATTATATATAAGAAAGTATTTTACACAACAAAATTTATTTCGCAAATAATGAACGATGCAGATTTAACGATTTCTTACGAGCAACTACTGCATTACATTATGCTACAAGTTATCATTCTTACGCTTGTCGCGCGAGTGTCTTCAACAATGTTTTATCAAAATAATCTTTGATGTTAACGTCATTAATCCAAAGATTAGACCAGAAGATAACCAATTAATTAATAACGTATATGAGTACTTAGTAAGCATCTAGAACATAAACGTATAATTTTACAGAAAGATAATTTTCTGTTATAAATTGTTAGTCATCTAATTGTAGAAAGAAAAGTAATAACCGAAGATAAATTATATAGATATAAATCTTTAAATATTATGTTATTATTTGACAAGTATCACCTAATATCATCAACTTTGCTGCAGGTGTATAATTATTCATATTTTATTTTATAAATATGATATCAGATATTTTATCGTCGTTTTATGATTATAATCGACCATATATTTCATGAAGAAGAATATGGTAAGATAAAATTGAATAAAAAATGTTGGAAATGTATCCTGCCCTTTTACGGTCTGTACTATCTTACAACCATTTCAAATATTTTGATCAGCTCAGTATCCCGGAGACGTAGTCGGATTAAGTGGATTAGGACTTGGGCTGCGACTAAGTGTCGTCGGAACGCCTAGAATGCCAGCGAGATTTCGTATACTTTTAGGAAACGTTCTTGCAACGATAAAATGCTGAGGGCCGATCAATGCATCTCCCATTATACCAAGGCGTACTCCATTTCCATGTCTGTGCAGAGTCATAGACATGTCTAAAAGCATGTTAGATACGCGTTACACATTTCGAACACAGGCACGATGTAATTAATAACAAAAAAAAAAACAAATATATAAATGTGTACTGCAGTTTCCTTGCGGTGGTCGCCAGTAGATCGCTCCGTCTATACCTTCCACAGGTAAATCTCCATCAACATGCGTTAAACATAGAGAGTATCTCTTCGACAATTGATTTAAAAATAATTTCAAAACGATAGACGGTATACAGGACGAAATTAATCCATAGGAGGTTTCCGCTGCCGTAATGGCGTAAATTGCGCTCTGCCTAGACCTGGCTTCCTGAACGTTTCGTTGAATAACCTTGGAAAAATGTGACGCGACTCGTTAAAGAAATTTGAGTGAGTTCTTTCTTTTCTTTTTATAATAGTATTGTAAATCGTACATATCTTATCCTAGGCATATCTTGTCGTAGGCTATATCGAATACCTGCAATATCTCAATGAGGTCATCGTGGAAGAATGGAGTTCTGGTGGGTAAGGCGAGACAGAGGATGCCTTTGGCCTCGTGATTTCGAAAAAACACCGCTCGCTGACTTACGTATTTAACTGTCGCAAATATGTCATCCGGAACGCTGACAGCCGAATGTCTAAAGTATTCCTTCAGGGCGTCTACGGTAGCCGCCAAAAGAATCTCCGTTTCCGTTGCGCCAGTTACATTAGCAATTTTTCGTACGAGTTCAACGTCGACTTCCTCTGACCAAGCCACTACCTTTCTACCGCATGGTGAGATGGTTTGCAGCTGATTCGATTGAGGATGCTTGAAAAACAATTCCTCCATAATGATCTTGGGGGCTGTTACGGCTATCCAGGTAACAGACACCGTCTCCCGAATCGCTTGGAATGTCAGAGGAAGGTAACACGATAGCGTATACGTCAAGGTATCCGGGTAGCAATGTTTCTGCCGCGATTGTAAAGCTCGCAATTCTCGAACGAGTAAGAGAGGCGTCTTTAAAGACAAAGTAACCATCGTGTACCAGGATAGAGCGACGCACGAGTAAAGAATGTCGATCGGGTTGAGAGATCTCACAACGGAGTCGAATATCAAGTGAATATTGAAATTTCTCTTGCTCGATTCACGTCGGACAATCGACAGGAGCTCCAGGAACTTTAGCCCTTCCGACTTTCGGCACTGTCTAAAGAAAGTTGCGAAACAAAGTTACTATTTGAAATTTTTTTGAGAAGCGTAAGATAGGCATTAATCGCGCAATTACGTTTTCTTAATTTTCTTTTTCAAATATTCGATCGAAATACTTGGCACGCGACGTGTCATTCGTATTATTCGTATTATTCATCGCGAGCGAATGAATGAGAGAGAAACTCTAGCTCAGACTCGAGATAAAGGATCAAATATATACCTGGCGTCGGAATCAACTACCTGGCCAATTCTTTCAGAGTGCAAATCAGCACTATCGTTGCGATCTTGATGCACTGAAATACTCCTGTACGTTTCTTTAGGATTTCCGGTCGTTCGATGGGATCGTTATTGTAAAGAAAATCATTCCAGTAGTTGCTGAAGCTCTCGATGAGCATTTGTCGGAGGCGCGGTAGAGCGGAGGGCTGGGCATACAGATTCGTAAAGGGCGAGTCGCTCTCTTGACAAGTCCAGTTGTCCGTCGAATATTTCAGCGGCAAAAAATCCGCCAGAGTTAGATGTTCCTGCCGTAGCAACAAGTGATGCGCTCGTACGAGACATATCTGACGCTCTTCTCCTCGCGCCAAGTAGCTGATTACGTGCACCTGCCAAGGCGGTAATTTTTTCGGAAGAAATTTCGATGTAACGTCGCTTATGTAATCCTACGACAAAACAACCCTCCGAGTCAATTGGGCTCGTAGTAGAACCGACCTGTATAAGTAAGAGTAAAGGAATAACGGTAAGAGGCATGCCGACCTGTATATTACTCTCGGTAATAGGACGACCTCGAAAGGAGCACGATGAATTTGCGAGATGATTGTCCACGGAAAAATAATCGAGTTCTTTCCACACGTACACGGCCCATCGAGTTAAAAGAGCCGATTTAAGGAATTTTCTCGTCGAGGTCAGATGCGTCAAGTGATTTCTCACGCCCTTCACGATCGAACGTCCTTGCACGAGAAGCGTGCATATTCCCTGCATCATACGATTACGATAATCATCAATCACGATGGTTATCGTAATAATTAGAAAATTGTTAGTAGCGATTGATCGAATTGGCTTGACCATTTAAAATCAAAATTTTAATATATAATTACTTACGTGATTACGTCCCTGGTCCAAAATACTTCGAATACTATTTCTTTCCACAATGACATGATTCGGATACTTCCATTTTACGAAGCGAATCCAACATTTTCTCGTCCACGTCACCACTTAAAAATGCCAAATGCACGCGAATTGTACATATATAAGTCGGAATATGATAGAGCGACTGATCGGAGAAAATCGGCGCCGAGGTATTATAATATAATTCGCATTGCGATATAATATATATTATACATAATGCACGCGCGCACGCGCGCGCGCGATGTATCGTAATTACGACGAGAGAGTGATTAAATTAGATGTAATGTTAGATGTAAGTACGAAAATGACGTCGATCGCGAGGCCAAGTTGAAAATGTCGATGCGAGCACCAATGGGTATTCGCGGACGATCTACAGCAAATCTCTTCTATTCTTCTCTCGAAGAACTCGAAAATAAAACGTTCAGAATGAAGATAATTACCTACATACGAGGTAACGAGTAGAGGGACCAAGAATGTCGTAAGCGCAAAACTGAAGCCGAAATGCATCATCGGAGAAATACCGAAATCGGCCATGATCTAGATTTGATCGAAACGATATTCGCCAATTATGGATTCAAATGCTTGACGAATGCTTGACGAATGCTAAAATCTCTCTCTCTCTCGAGCCGGAAGCGAGATGCAGTCTCGTAGCTCTCGATCCTACTACCAGTGATGTAAGTATCGGCGCAATTTAACTCGCGCGACGTCCGCGTTCTCGTATGCGTCTCCAATACAAATGATTATATTCCGAATCTGACCTTACGACCCCTTGCCAAAAAAAGCCAAGCGAGACATTAGCAAGAGATATATATATATATATATATATATATATATATATATATATATATATAT